CCTATTTTACCGATCTAGGGATCCCCCTTTTCCAAATTTTAATATCAACTCAAAATAATTTAAAAAGACAAATTACAATAAAACGGTTTATTATGCAACTATCAGAAATTTCACAACATGCCAAGGAAGAGAGGAAGGAGCAATTAAATAAATAAAATTATAAAGGATTAAAAAATATATATAAAAATGGGGAATATTGCACTTCTGACAATCTCTGTGAGTGTGTGTGGGCTAAATTTGGAGAATCCATGCTTCTCGCATGGACAACTGTATGTGGCCAGCTCAAGCGGCGGAAAACCTTCTGTTTGTGTATGCACCAGACAGAAAAACAAAAAAATATTGTGTATCCACAAGCACTCCAATAAATAAATAGAATTGAAACAACACTTTGAAATGTTTTCCCAATGAAAATGAATAATAATAATAAGTTTCAATAAAAATGATAAAATGTAAATTGAATTTTATTATAACAAGTTGGCTTGAATTTTGTTTCTTCTGAGATTGCAGCAATGTGCGACGGGTAAGCTAGTAATTTATATTAAAAACAAGCACTAGTCCTATAACATACTTATGAAACGTTGAATTTAAAGTAAAAAGTACATAACAGTGAAATTAATATTAAATAAAGTTCTTGCATAAGAATTGTTTATTAGTTTTTTATTGAAAAAATAATTTACTTTGTTTTACATTTTTTTCTTTTCTTGTATTGAAAAAAATTATTTCAGGATGCATTTGATTCATTAATCATGCTTTTCCATTTGTGCTGTAATAAATACAAAAATTAAATCACAATGTCACATTGCAATTTTTGACAAGACTATGTCTTGTTTATAAAATTGTACTGCCTGCTGGGTAACCAGCTTAGAGATATGAAGGAGTACATGTCAGGAGTTGCAATTTGGCACAGAGTATTAGGTGCCCAAATCATGCGCGCATAAAAAAAACCAGACTTCTGTGTACTCAGGGGATTGAGAATTGAGTCAAAATAAAATTCAAAAATGGCAACACTTTTTACAAATAGGCAGTAGTGTGGGATTTACACGTGTTGCTCGTTGGAAAGTTGGAAATGCGAGCATTGCAAAATTGAATTTTGACAAACGAATCTTTGAAAAAGCCCATTTTCCTGTCCTGTATTATTCCCAATGTTCGTGTTAACCGATCAAGGTCACGACATGCTGACCTTGATCGGTTGACCCGAGATATCTCATTTCAGCATTGGAACCTTTTTTCAAAGTAGATGATGCTAGTTGTTTACAGTTTTATATAAAATTGTAACAACATCTTTTATAGTATTCGCGAGACTGTCGGGCAGGCACTCGTTAAGTTTTGCATCAGTTTTTATTTTCAAAAGGTGAGAGTATAATAGCAAAGGTAGAGAGTGGACAGAAAATGTCTGATGTTGCTGGACAGTATGGTTCGAACAGTCTACAGTAGGCCACAGTTCAATCTTATCTAAGAAAGATACTGTATAATCAAGAAGACTCAAGCAGCTGAAGGAGTAACAAAAATCACATCTGAAAAATAAAGAACATTGAAGAGCTCATAATGGAACCTGAAACAGATCTGACGACAGAAGAATGCCAAGAACTCTTGAATGAAGAACACCAAGAAACTTGGCAACATATGTTTTCTTTTGAAAAAGAGGATTAATGTCGATATCTGCTATTAAAGATCATTTAAAGAAGTGGGAAGATGTCAGAATAATGGTCTTAGAATGGCATCCAAACAAGTAACTTCTGAAATATAATTTGTTTGTTTTTTTTTCTACATTTATTAATGTATATATATTGTTTGTGCAAAATAAAAAATACTTTTGACAATACGATAGCCAGGATTATTTTTTTTCAAAAATGAGAAATTTTCTTTAGGCATCAACAAAAATTCAACCCGGGTGACATGCAACACTGAGAAAATTTGAAATTGGATAGGTTAATTTCACTGAAAATGTATCATGAACAACCTCATGGTTGTGGCTGTGAAGTTTGAAAGATTGCACTCTAAATTAGCAATACCAAAGAAGATTGGAAAATGAGAATGAGACCCGCCTTGAGCATCAGAGTGATTCCACTTAGTAGTAAATCTCCAAGACATAGTCTTGTTTCAAATGCAGCCTTGTCATTTTACTTTTTTAATTTAAAAAGATTACACGACTTACAGTCCAGAATGGAAGATCATATATGGTGGTACCTCCTACTTCAAACACTTCAGAGTTTGAACACTAACTTGAACAAAAATTTGCTTCAGAGTTTGAACTGCCTCTGCAGTGAAAAAATTCACTTCAAGCATAAATGCAATCTATTATGCATCTAAGTCGTCTCAGATTTTGAGTGCTTAGAAACAAATCTAATGAATTTTTAAGATTCATCTTTAAAGACTGTACAGATATTTTCTTATAGTTCTCTTCATACAATTATGAAAATAATCAAATTTTGATCATCTAAAATAATGGCTGTCCATGAAACTTTTATTTATATTTTTAAATATTATCTCTTGAGTCCTTAGTAAGTAAATGTTAAAGATTTAAGTGTTTTTTTGTGATGATGTAGTAGGCATTAACAAACACAGCTGACTCATTAAGTTGGATTTATGATATTACCGAAATCCTTGCAGCACTACTCACACTTTTCTGTTTTTTTTTTGTTCACTTGTCATTATATTAATTCATTGATGCATTATGTATGATATTCTAGATGTTTTTATATGTATGATGTTTGATTTATGCACTGTGAATATCAAAAATTAGCAAAAAGCATTTTCATTTTTATATATTATGAATTAAATGCCTATAAATAGATATGAGATGTTAGTAAATAAATTGATGATAATTAATAAATATAAAATATGTGAATATACTATGTTAATTACACATATCATTTTTTAAAAATCAATTTACACATATTTTTCTACTTTTTTCCAGATCATCCAACATCATTTGATTTCACTCCATTTGTGAATGAAATATATCAGTGTACTTTAGTCAGATTAAAAGCTGCTGATATTGATCAAGAAGTAAAAGAACGAGCAATTTCATGCATGTAAGTTAATTTGGTATAAAAAATAATAATAATAAATAAAAATTATTATAATATCAATAATTAGCATACAAGGTCTGTTCAAAAAGTATCGGACCTTTTTTTCCGCGTAAACCAAGGATGCGCGAGAGGCCTCCTTTGGTGGAGTTGTGGAGGGGACAGTCATGCACAGCCCTGAATTTTTTCCCACCTGCAGGAAGCGTCAGTTGTTGGCAATCGGCCTATGAGTGAGGTCATGTAGTGCGCTCTCGTCGGATTTCACTAAGCTGGAAAATGACTGAACAACGTGAGCAGCGATATTACATCAAATTTTGCCAAAAACCTTGGCGATACCCGAGTGTAAACCATTCGCAAGATTCAGCAGGCTTTCGGGGACGATCCTCGAGGCCAAAAAAAGCGCGGCAGGTCCGCAGCAATATCAAAGGTCA